CTACTAGAAAAGTGCTTAATACAGACGGATTTTAATCCGTCTATATTACAGACGGCTTTACAGACGGATTTGTGGAATAATTTTTTTATTTATTTTCTGAACAATCCGTCTGTAATACAGACGGATTAAAATCTATCTATAAAATCCATCTGTATTTAGCTCGCCTTTTGGCGCCAAACGTTATAGACAGCAATTATAGACGGATTTTCCCGTCTGTAATGACTGACACCCATAAAAACTGCATCTATTCTTTCCCTCCCCCATTATCAGAACCCCCCCTCTCTCTCTCGCTCCCCCCTCTCTCTCTCTCTCTAGGAGCTCAGTGTTTTGGCCATTGTGAGTGATTGGAGCAACCATTTGAAAGTTTTTTTGCATCATTGTATTCCTGGTACGATACTCTAACTTTTAATCGGTTTAGTTTTTTAATTTTTTATATTCTTGATGTGCTGAGACTGAATTTTTTAATTTTTTAATTTTTTAATTTTTTAATTTTTTAATTTTTTAATTTGAAAGTTTAACTTTTATTTTCTTGATGTGCTGAGACTGAATCAACAGCCCGAAATGACATACTCTCTCAAGCACTTAGTGTAAGAAAGCATCCAGGTCGCGTGAGGGCTGTAGGTTTTGGGGTGACCCAAAAATCTGCATTTGAGCCAGCTACATGTCCACATCCTTCATCTACCGAGTGGCAAAACATGAAGCATTGGGTAAAGCATTTGACCAATGTAGTGACACAGTTGACAGAGGGTCAGGGACTACCCCCATTCATGTCAGGTCAGATGCCATTCAACCCCACTCATTCCCCACCACCATGTATGCCACCCTCTTTCAATATTGCTCCTCAAATGCAACCGATGGCGGATATTGGTTGCCAAACGCCTGTAGATGCACCTTCTACCAGCCATAGAGGCAGTTGTACACCAATTACATCTGTTAAGATTCCAGAAGTATTTAAACTACAGTAAATCATCACTTACCTTTTAATGTTTACTGCTTTTGATTTAATTTTTGCGTAATATAACAAACTTTCATTTGTAGGGTGATCATGACTGTATTCTATACTTGAACAAATCTTTTCGCCTGGTTGCAAGAGGTAGAGTATATCATACAGTGGCTGGAGACTCCTTACATAATATGGCTCTTCCTCTAGAGCATGGTAAGGTTTCTATAGAGGTAGTGCAACGACATGAGAAGGACTCTGCACTGCCTGTCCCAGATTAACAAGCAAACCTGTATTCCCTGAGAGATGCAATTAGTGCTTATGTTGCTTGTCCATTGTCCCTAATCACTTTAAGACCCAAGGTATGTAAACGTGTTTCTTTATAGTTCTTGTTGCTAGATGTTACAATTAAAAGGTTTGTTCTTTTCAGGTTGCCCCTTCATCAGGTAAAGGGTTAGGGAAAGAGACAGGGTACTCAAAAGAGTCCATTACTGGTCCATCCAATAAAGGTAGCACTGGTTGTGTGTCATCAGAGATTCTGAAGTTGGCAGAAGCCCAAGGTGCTGCATGCTTGGATATGATGAAGCTGTTTGTCAGAAGTGATCAAGCCATTAATACAACTACAATTCAACTGACAAGTGAGCGCTGGGGTAAAGAGTTTTGTGACATTGTGGGGAAGGAAAACATCATAGAGGTCATACGTCGACATTGGTTGAGTGCCTCTAGCATTAACCTTTACATACGGTACATTAATTTTCAAATTATATAATTCATAGTCAATTTATAACTTTTATAACCTTCATTTAATAATGTTCAATTCTACTTTTGCAAAATAAGATACTTGTGTGAAGCTTATTTGCATGGGACAATGGCAAATAAATTCTCATTTATATCCCCGTATGAAATGGACAAAGCGCTTAATCCGAACCCACATCAACATATAGCTGAAATGTTGAAGCGTCATATAGGTGAAGATCACTTGATATTTGCACCTTATAATGTTGGGTAAGTCAATCTCAGTGAGACTCTACTTTGTGTTTTATAATTTAGCATATAACTTTTAAACTTAGTAATCTTAAAATGATATTTATACTCGTGGTAGGCAACATTGGGTCTTGGTTGCCATCAATACTGCTGACGAGACTATCTATTATATGGACCCTCTACGCAAGTAGCTGAAGATGAGAACACACATGCAGAACCTATTTAATAAGTAAGCATTCATTTATGTCAACCAACTATGATTAATGTTAAGTTGTTCAAATGTATCTAATTTCTTTGGTTCACGACTCTTAGTGCTCTTGTCACGTATCTAGCAGAGAGGGGAGTACAGCCCTCTAGTACAAAGATGAGTCAAATAAAATGGGTCACTGTACAGGTAAGACTATATCATATCTCATGTTTTTAATTTTCACCTAAAGTGTAATTGCACTGTATATCATTCTTAGTTAATGTTGTTTTATTTGATTTTTATCTTCCACACAGTGTCCCAAGCAAACAAATAATGATGACTGTGGATATTATGTGTGTCTATTCATTGGGGATGCTTTGCACCATGGACAAACTGTAATCCCAGTAAATGTAATAATCTTACACATTTCAATTTGTTTGTCATATGCTTATTATTTCACTTAATTAATTAAACTTTGTTTTCTCTATCCTTGTATTTCAGTACTTTCCAGAAGTGCAGATGCCAACATTTCCTAACAACAAAATTTGTCAATTGCAAAAGGAGTGGTGTTCATATCTGTACCATAGATATTTAAAGGACACATTAAGCACAATAGATTATTAGCGTTCTTTTATAATATTTAAACAATTTTCTGTAAAGGCTAGGAAAAATGTGTAAATATGAGACTCTGATTGATTGTAATCTGTACATGTGAGTTGTAATTGAATAATATAGTGTGCAATTCCTCTGAAATTCTAGTATATCAGGCTCTGTTTGAATTTTGTTTGAATTGGTTCTGAATACTGTATAATTTACCAGGTATGCTAAAAAAAAGTTTTATGCTAGTTTTATTAAAATATTTAAAAATATTTCTTAACTTTAGAGAGCGGTTCACTTATAACTGCTCTTATAAGTTTGACATAAGAGAGCGGTTAACCTGTCAACCGCTCTCTTTAGTCTAACTTATGAGAGCGATTCAGTCTTAACCGCTCTCCAAAGTACTATATTTTGTAGAGCGATTACGCGCTTAACTGCTCTCTTTGGTAAACTTCTGAGAGCAGTTAACTGCATAACCGCTCTCCAAAATATACATTTGAGAGCGGTTAAATAACCGCTCTCCAAAAATGAAGACATTGGATAGCACATGATTTTAAAGCGCCGCTAACCGCTCTCTTAAATCAAGCAGAACCGCTCTTACATCTCATTTTTGGCGTAGTGTCTGTTTCATCTGTATTTGCTCAAGGTTTGGGTTGGTTTATCAAAGATGGTATGTTTATTAAATTTTAGACAGACAACTGGAGTTAGGAAATTGTCTAGTCATGCCTTAGTCTCTGCCTCTGAGTTGGACTTGGACTCACCAATGGCTTTGTTCTTTGATAAAAGGGTGTGGGACTGGTCAGATTTGTCATCACATCGCTCAAATTAGCCCCTCCCCCCTCCCTAATAGATATAGTAGATCAAATTCAGTTTATTGAAATGCAACAACAAATAATGGAGTATTTTCAATTAAATCTACTTATCAATTACTTTATGATTCTATCCATTAACCTAGCAGTGGTCAAGCTTTGTTCAAAGTTGTGTGGAACTGGAAAGGTCCCTCTAAAGTTACTTTTCTTCTCTCAAAAATAGCTCATCAGAAATTACTTACAAATGAGAAAATGGTAAAACATGATATGATTGATTCTCCAACCTATACTTGAATGATGCTGATTTCTTCTCTCGTTGTTGCTGGAATAATACTGGCTCCATGTCTAGATTAGTCTTTGAGCATGGAAAAGTGAGATGGATTTCACCTACTATGGACCAACTAATGATGGTGCAGTTTCCAGATCCAGCAGGACTACTGCATGTGAAAGATTGATTTGAGATAGTCATGGCAAACTCATTATTGGTTTTTACAGCAATCTAGATCCTTGCTCCATTATTACTGCTGAACTTTGAGGTATCTATAAGAGAGTCCAGTGTAGCTAAAAATAATGTAAGGACTATCTAGATAGTAACTGATTTCAAAGAGATCATTGCCCTTATTTTGAATGTCTAACAACTTTCTCATTCTCTCTATTCCTTAATTTGTAAAATTAGGGAGGTTTTAAAGTCCATTAATTTTTTCTAAGCCTGCTGCTTTGACCATTGTTTGCTTTAGGCTCATAAAGCCCCTTCTAAAAGAAAAAAAAATTATCAAAATGAATTTTACTTATATTAAAATAAATATACAATGTACGTCTTATATACATTGTTAGTAACATCAAAATTGAAGAAAAAGAGAAAAAAAAACTCATATTCTAAGAACTTTTCTCATTATTTAGAATGCATGTAAACATAAAAGAATAGGAAAAAATAACTAAGACCCACCTTTTACATATTTTTAAACATATCCGTCAATTTCTTTTAACTTACGGTATGTTTTTAAATTCTAGAGACATCTTTAACTCTAAAAGAATATATTAATTCTTCTCTTTTCAGTCTCTATTCAACCAATAAATAATAAATAAAAAATTTTATCTTCTTTTTCATTCCTTTTTCTGTCAGACCAAATAATATAAAAATTTGCACATTTTATTACCTTCTTATTTTTCTCAATTTTCTTTCGCATCAAAATCTACAACGTTAGCAAACGAACCATTTTTCTCATGTAAGGATTACTAGGGGATAGTATATTAAAAATAAATTATAAGCCTAACTAAAAATAAAATATTAACTTTTAAAAGAGAAAAGGATTGTCCAAATTTTCCTTAGACCGTATTCCCAAACTACTCTTAACAACACGCTTTTATTTTATGTGAGATCATTAAAGTAACAACTAAACTCAAGCAATTCAATAATTTCTATTTTAGTTCGAGAGGATAATTGGGTCCTTGGGGGAAGTGATTCCCCCCATCTCCATAAAATCCATGCTATCGGGTGCATTTGTGACAATATGATCCATGCATAGATTGCATGGTCGGTGCTAAGAGAAAAGAGAAAACATTGAAGTTTTCAACACTCTAGGGGCCTAAGAACCAAAGAAGTCGGAAAGAAAAGGGAAGAACTCTAGTAAGGTGATGTAAGACATGATATTGTATTTGAAAGTGGAAAAATTTTAGCATCCATTGACACTTTTTTAAGGTTATTTAACCCATGGGAATGGGATATAAACTTGGTTCCATTAATGGATAATACGTGTGGGACAAAAATAGGAAAAATTGAATATTTTTAACATCACTCTTGTATCTTATTTTTCTCCATGCATAGGCCCAAATAATGCAAAACTGTGGAAAAGCTTTTTGCTAAATAGAGAGTTGTCCCAATAAAGCTGCTTGTCCATTAATTGATATTTGATATGAGAGTTTCACTTCCTCTTTGATTTTGCCAGGTGAGGAAACACTGTCAGAATGTTGTGGGATAGTAGATCCTGCCTTGTCAAAATCCCGATCACAGGAGATACCTACCAGGAGAACATATTACAAGGTTAGTCTTATATGGCTATTCCACATAACTACAACCACATCAGTCATGAATTTTCTTCTTCTTTTTTTATTACTTTTTATTCGTATAAATTCTCTAATTATTGAATATTCTTTATGTTTTTAACATAATAATAATTACACACACTTTTTTATTAATACGCTGTCTTTAAAAATATTTATGATTCTTGTAATTTCAATGAACTTCTTTATATATTTTATAAAAATAGGTTGTATTAAGCTAAGACTAATTACTTTTATGATCAAATTTATGGTATAAACCCTTTATGCATTAAGAGGTTAAGATTATTTAGAAGATATATAAGAGAATATAGCAAAACTTGGATGTGAAAGTTAATGTTTGATTGCAATTAATGTTCAAACAGTGCTTAATAAACTTACCCCAGATGCTTGATACTTGGGTACAACAAGCATATGGCGAAGTCCTACTTGTCTGAAGAGAACCAATGCTTTTGCAACTGACATACTCTCTAGCACTGTAAAAGGAGTTGTATTGGTGAGAGGGTGGAGATCAATAAACATCTCCATTTCTTCTTTTGTCACAGCCACATCTTCAATGTTCCCTTCTCTCTCAGCCAGCTCCACCCAAGTAAATTTCTCTCTCACTTCCCACTCCTCAGTTCTCCTTCTCTCTTTCAAGAACCACTTCTTCTTTAGCACTTTAATGAGGTGTGCTCTTAGAATGATTCCATGCAATTCTGTCACCTCAGTGGCTCGTCCTGTTGGTGGCACTACACCACAATCCAACACAGGAAAACCATTATGTGTAGTGTTTCTCAAGGCATTGACTATGTTAGCCACCTTTTCTACTCCTCTGAAGCTAACCACTGCTGGCTTCACATCAACAAGCTCTCCAACAGTGAGGTTTCTCATCCATGGCTCAGGGTTTGCATCCATGAAAGGAAGGCCTTTTAGGTGAAGTATGATCTCATAGATGCTTTTGTTGAAACTGTCTCCAACAGTTTTAGCTATGAGGAGAACAATCATGGTTATTGGTAGTAGTAGAAGGTTGTTGGTTAGTTCAAGGAAGATCACACAAAGGGACACAGTCATTCTCATAGATCCAGCCATGAGTGAGGCTGCACCAAGAACTGCAAACAATCCTTGGTCAATGTTTGTGTTAGGTCCCATGATAATGCCTAGAAGCCGGCCATAACCTGAACCCATGAGAATGATTGGGAGGAATAGGCCTGATGGCACAGCAATTCCAAAGGTTATTAGTCCTAATATGCAATAGAGTGCAAAGAAAATTATGATGGAGGAGGGTTGGTATTCATGAAGAGTGTTGGTTGAGAATATGTTTCTAACAGCATCATCATTGGTGGTAAGAAGAAGAGTGGCAAGATCATTGTAGTGGCCATTTGGGCAGTTGAATTGTTTGAAATTTCCAGATCTCCCATTGGTGGGGCAAACAGACTCTGGAAATGATGGATCACAAGGGGTGCATTTTGCTAGGAATGGGAGACCATATTGGCACACTGATGTGAAGAGTGAAACTGAAAGAGCAAGGAGGAGCTTATATATTTTCCCTTTCCTGCAATAATTGAAAGTAGTTTACTCACTAATCATGCAAGTCAGAAAAAGCTAATTTATGTTCTGCTAGTACTTTGCAGGGTATAATTGTATAATTGTCAACTGTATTCAAAGATTCAATTGGTGGTCAAATGATAAAAGTGTATTACATGAGATGCCATGATTAGTTTACCTTTCCTTTGTTCTTTTCATTCTAGGCCTTATCAATTGAGCACTTATTTGTTCCTTATATTTTATGACACATTCAAATAGGACTAATACATAGTTTGGTGGACTACTTATTATACATTGTTCAATTTCTTATGAAATTTTATATTCTTTTGCATTATATATCATTGAAAAGAAACAATAGGACATATAATATGTTGTGATATTGAGATTAGATAAAGTTGCTTACTGATTGATGAGATTGTAGACGCGTAGGACCTTATGGAGAAGGTAATTGTAAAGGCTTCCCAATAACCCACCAAGAACTCCAATGGTAACAACAGGGATGATATCCATCACATGGTACCTCACAATGACATTGCTCACATCAAACATGATCAACCCCCCTTCTCCAAAAAGACCACATTTTCCTAGGTGGCAAAGTTCAATACTGGCCCTTAGCACTACCACAACCACAGCTGTGCTGAAGAAAGTTCTCCAAAGGAGAGCACTTCTCCACCATGTTGCCACCTCTTCAAGAGCAAAGAGTACTCCACCCACAGGGGCCCTGAAAGCTGCACAAACCCCTGAAGAAGCACCACAGGTGATAAGATCACGACGATCGCGATCATTGTTGAAATACCGCAGCCACATCCACTTGATCCTGTGATTGTCAGGGCCTCCTTGGCCTAGTAGGGAAGCAATGCAGCTTCCAATATGTACCAAAGGCCCTTCTTTTCCTAAATCTAGCCCTGCAGCTACAGCTCCAATGCTTCCAATTATCTATAAGAGAAAATATGTACATATTTTTTAAAATATGCACACTACATTGGCAATGTAATGCTATAAAAATGTGAAAAATTGTACATTCTCTGCAGCCAATATCACTGCTATCATGATGTTTTGTTCTTTTACCGGTAATCAGATATATTTTGGTTGTATGAGCCGTACAAACTTGACTTGCCATGTTTTTAACTTGAAAAGACAATACTCTTATGAATATTGGTCCCCCCATGACTATTATTGTCATTCATATTAGACAGATTGCAAGTGTTAATGATTGAATTCCATAATTTATATGCTTTTATATGAAACAATTCATAATTCAGTGGAGCCTTTGACCCAAAAATGTCCCAAATCTGTAAAACAATTGTAATAGCTTTACACCTCACTTGATAATAAAGGAGTGGTAACCATTGGAAAGTAAATGATGAAAGAAATTATCGATGATCAAACCACCGACACTTGGAATGCATTCTAACCGCATTTCCCTTTACTTAAAATTTAAACCTTGTATATATAAATTAAAATCAAACCTTATATATAAATTTTCATATGTCAACTGTTTTATAGCAAATTAATCAAAATAAAAAGAATTGAGATAATGAAGCATATAACATAATAACAAACTAACCTTAACAAACAATGTTGTAGCACCGTACATGTTGGGAGTATCAACACCATTAAGATAAGCTTTGATTTCAGGGATACCAGGTCCAGCAGCTGTGGGTGCAAAACACACACAGAGAAGAGCAGCAACAAATGTCAAAAGGAAATTGGAGACCGTGAAATATAGGAAACCCGTCAAGTACCTGCACCATGTATCACAATCATTCACAGTTATGAACTACTCTCATTTACTTTCCTTCAACAAGCCCTCTATCATTTTATCATGTTGAAAATTTTTCTCATTTATTTTTTCTATTTTACAAACTATCAAAACATAGAGATTATTTACTTTTTTTACCTGTTACATTTTAATTAGAGGAAAATTACATTTACAGGTTAGAGATTTAACAAAATTTCATTCGATGCCTAATTTTTTAATTCGTTGCTCTTTTACCTTTACATTTTAAATAGAGATAAATTATATTCATACCCTGAAGATTTAATAAAACTTCATCTTGTACTCTTTTAAACGTTACTTTGATCTTCCTTGATACATATAATTGCGTAAAAAAGCAGAGATAATATATGTAATCCTGAAAAATATGTGGTGTAATGTCAAATAAATTAAGAGAAGTTTGTAGAGATAAATAAAAAAATTTAAAAAAAAAAGGTTTAAAGTAAAATTTCATTAAACCTTAGATGGTTTCAACTTAATTTGTCTTTTGATTGGTTTCATTTGTTCAAACTATTCTCATATAAAAGGAAAGAAAAGTTTTAATAATTATAAAGCATAGAGGGTGTGGCAGAGTTGATTTGATCAAACCTTTCTTTTTGGATAAGACTAACAACAGCAAGAAGCTTGTAGCCTGCAATGTTCTCAACAGCAAGATTGATGAGGGTGGCTATGACACCAGTGAGAAGTCCAACAAGGAAAGCAAGAGACCATTTCAAGAATATGTATTGAAACACTTGAGCTCTTGATCTGCTCCTCCAATCTTGCTTGAATAAATCATTCTCATTGATCCTGCACACAAAAAGAGCCTCATCAAAATGAGTTACTTTTTGGTGAAAAGAAACAAAGTGCCTTTACCATGATAATTAAGCATGGATGATGCCATGTTCTGAGTTCTTACTCATAATCCAAGCTTTCTATGTAGGAAACTTTTGCTCCAACAAGAGCAAGGGGATTGGAAGAGAGGGTTCTACTCCTCTTGAGGAGTGGGTCATGTAGTTGATTGCTTTCTGGATCTCTTTCCACAGCCTCTTCCTCCATGTTATCATTGATTGATGTGCTTTCTTTGTGCTGACCATATTCCTCTCCCATTGGAACAACACACCCAAAATCTTTGAGGCAGAGAAACTAATGAATCTCTATTGTTGACAACCTTTACAAGAAAATGGTTTTGGATAGGAACGAAGGGAGCCACCTGGCGTACAAATGGAAAAACTCAAAAAAGTTATGACACTTGTTCAACAAATATAAATATTCTATATCATGTAATCTTGTTTAGATCTAAGAGTATTTATAGTGTAGTGGACTAGTTTTCTTAAGGAAGCTTTTTCACCCATAATGTTCTCAAATATGATAATGTTTTTGAACAACTTTTTGTCTGTATATTTAAGGTATGTGAATACAAAAAGATAAAAAAAAGTGAGCAAGAAATAAAAATAACAAAACTGTAAATTTAAAACCTTGCTTAAAGAGAGTTAGGAGTGTATTACTTATAAAAAAGAAATTGACTTAATTTTTACCTTTTTATTTTATTTTTTTTCTCTCTCATATTTTCTACACTTTTGAATGAAGACTATTAGTATTATGATTAATTTTTTATATTAGAAACATTTTATATATAAAAAAAATGAAATTATTAATAATAATAATTGTTTAAAGGAGTACAAATTACACGGGCATTGAATAGAACCTGAGGTAGAAAGCGGAAAATCGTGGCTGTGAGGCTGTCATCGTTTTGGGGTCTTAATGTCTTATTATTTGCATCCTTGTCTTGTCAATTATTCATAGTTCCCTACATTTCATCAATTATTCACATTGTCAAAGGAGAACGTGACACATTCACATTATGGTTTTTTTCACATTATTCGGCCCACTTACCACCACATGGTGTGCATAAATTTAAGGTCTAAAATTTAGGGACCTAAGAATTAAGAAACAATTCATTTTTAAGTTAGTGAAACGTGAAAGTGACACCCAAGTTTAAATATTCATTGTCCTCAAACCTACTTCATATTTGTTGATGTAAGTTACCATATTTTATGAGTAATTACTCCCAAGTCTTGGCTCGTTATTATGATAGTGAATTTGATGAAAGGATGCATTTGTTTATTGTTTTTTCTCGCTGAAAAATCTCTGTTATAACTTATAATGGTTATTTGTATTATATATTTGCTATCAAAAAATCAACTGGATTCGTCAAATATGTGTATTTCAATTTCCCTATATTGCAAAATTTTCCATGGATTATTGGAATGATCTTCACTCCAAATTTGATTTGGTCCAAATTAAAGATATAACTTTGTTGTACGAACTATGGGAAACTTCTACGATATCCAATCTTTGAAAGAAATGTTTTCTGTTTTTAAAGCTATAATAATTGCTCCAACATAGCATTTTTTTTTCAAACAATATACCAGCTAAATTATCATTTTCTCATGTTGTCAGTGTTATGTTTTTTTAATTTTTATGTAACATCAAATTATATGTTAGAATTTTCAAATACGGTCGTTCGTGTATTCAAACTTATTTAATGATATAATAACATTAAAAGATAATGTAAAATAATTTTGCATTTCAAATTTTCTTTCCAACGCCGAAAGTAATTGGCTAAAGAGACAGATAAGATGGGTATATATAAATTAACAAAACATGTTGCATGTGCCTATTTATTTTGGGGTTGGGAAGCTATATAAAAGTAAAACGATGTTATTCATGTTTTTTTTTTAATAATATTTTATTGTTCATTTCTCTATCACTTTACTCAAGTAACTCAATTATTCTATTTTTTTCTTCTCTTTTCTTCTTATAAAAAGTGTTATATTTTAATGTGAATGGTATTACTCTATAATTAGGGGAACGTGGTGAGGCTAGAAAACTCAAGAAACATAAGGAAACAAGAGTGAAGTAAGGTTAATAAAATTGAAAGAGAGATTCATTGAAGAAGCTAGTATCAGTGTGATTCAATTAGTCAAATCTGTCGGGTTATAATCAATCACAATTAATAAGAATAAATGTCAATTCCTTTATCAATGTGATTCAATTTTATTATTTAATAAAATAGTTTTATGTCATAAGAAAAATTAGAATTTAATTTTAAACGACAATCAAATATTTTCAATTTCAAATAAATATATTTTAAGAATTCAACTCATCTCTTTAAAATAAAATAAATATATTTTTTAAAATTGAATTAAACAACTTTCTCTTTCCTAAAAGGAAGCATTGTCTTTTCTTAAAATTTTTATAAAAATAAATCATCAATTTAGTCACCAAGAGAGTTAATTTTAAGTATTTTAGTCTCTTAAATTTTAAAATTATTATATTACTCTTACTTTTTAATTTTACTAATCACTTTAATATTTGAAGTCATATACCGTGCAATAATAAAATGTACAATAATAGATGGCAAAAATGTACAATAATATATGAGAAAAACAATGTCATTTTACTATTTAATTTCATCAAAACCTTAAACTACTCATATTTTGCTATTCAATTTCATCAAAACAGTGAAAAAAAAGAAATATTTTCTAGAATTTAAGCTAAAAAACTTGCATGTAATTAATGTCCTTAGCCAAGGAGTTGGCGCATTGCACTAATTAATCAACCTAATTAGCATAATGCATAAAACAATGCTTAAGGGATCTTTATTTTCTTGACTTTATGATTGGTCCTATTGGCATATAAGGGAACCAATCCCCTTCTCAATATTATAATTGTCGTATATCTATTCTGCAATCTTCATCACCCATCTACGATGATCTGTCAGATAATGTCGTGACATTTAAGGGTCACCCACAAGAGACACATGTAACGTTCCTGCGACTGACAAATCACTTTGATCGACGGTCCAAAATCACACGACCCTTGACTTCTTCGAGAGGCACCTTATCGCTACGAAAATATTCTACTTATTGTCATTATTTTCTTCAACGAAAGAGGATAAAAAATTCTAGACATGTCATAACCCAATAATAACACCAAAAGTGACACCTCAGCTTTTGCTTGTTCAAAATGGGATCATGTGTTTGGTTTTGGGTTTACGATGGATCATGGCTTGTACTAAGGTTTTATTGTAGTTGGCTCGAATCAAGGATACAAGATCCACCCATATTTAAATCCCACGAGGCTACTATGCATTATGCAAAGACACATTCCCTCCATGGCATTACTCGTGAAGTCAAACTTGGCATTATATAATAAATAAATAAAATTGACTGTATGATTCTAATGCATTGAAGGATAGTATTAAATTTAAATTAACATTTTATTGTTTGCATTAGATGTTTTTTTATCACTTTTTATTATTATCATTATTATAAGAGAAAAGATAAGTAAAAAAATTTTAATGCATTGTCAAAGTAAAAAAAAAAATATATTGTTAACCAATTAGAATACATTATAGATACCATTTATACTAATTATTACAAAATTAATTCTTCTTGTTCATATAATAATTTATAATTGGATAATAGTGTAAAAAATTATACTAGTTTACATAAAATAAATTATATTAATTTTTATTAATATTAATAAATATATAATTTTATTAATCAGAGTATGAATAGAATCTTAATTACATAAATTCTTTTAGTAATTAAATTTTTACATAAGAAACAATAGATGTTAAATATAAATTAAGTATATAATAATCATAAAAATAAAATATTGAATCTCATTATAAACTATAACTTAATTTAAATTATAAAGTATAAATTATAAATCAAAATCATCTAAATGTTTATTTAAAATATAAATATGTTTAATAAAATATTCTTTGGATTAATATTTGAATAAAAATTAATATAAAATTAATGCATTTATAATTTGATTTTATTCGATTCAGTTTTAAAAATAGAATCATAAATCAAGCTAAATTGCAAGAGAATTTTTTATTCAACATTTATTTTAAAAAAAAAAGTTATTTGAGTAGTTTAGAATGATTTAGATCAACACCCTTAATTAAAGCCTAATAGGGATAGTTCTAGTATTTATCAAATATATGCTTACAACATACTCATGTGTATTTTATTTCGAGGCGATCTCAATCTACGGCGCATGATCTCTAAAATTGTTTCTTTTCTTTAAATTAAAAGTTATAATAAAATATTTACATATTATATTTATAATTTTTTATTTAAAAAATAATAAAATTAGAAAATATTTATTATAAATAAAAATCATTTGGTTGATGTCAAATTTAAATGTCTAAATTTTTTTTATATAAAAATATGTTTATTATATTATAAATAGAAATATATAATAAATATTTTTTACAATAAAATATATTACTAATTGTTTAATCAAATCCAGTTCTAAAATTGAAGATTATTAAAATCAATGAAAATTTATCTTTTTTTCTATTTATTTTCAAAGATTTAACTTATAACCATGTAAAAAATAAAAGCATGAATTAGTCATTATTCCGCTAGTAACTCAAAGATTGTATATTTATTAATCTTTAAAGATGATCAACTTTATTTAATTACTTTAACGAAGTTACTTAAATGCATTCATTAACCAATAAACGTTAAGATTATCATTTAAACTATAAATAAACTTTCTTGATTGCTTACCATCACAAGGAAATCTTCTTCTAACACAGGATTGTCATTGTTTGTGGAATCATGGCATTATTTAAAGGTGTGTATCTTGTTGTGGCCTTTATGATCACTTTTAACTTTTTAGTTAACACATCAATTTCTTCTACAATTGTCCCTACATTTCAAGGTTCTTCCACTGAGATCAACTATGCTCAGAAGCCATTATCTTCATACGAAAAGTATCTAAGGAATTGCGCAAGCAAGTTAAAGCCACATTGTGGTGAACAAATTTTCTTTAGTGTGTTTGTTGGAAATCAAACCATTAGCAACAATTGTTGTCTCAACCTTGTAAAGAACATGGGCAAATCCTGCCACATAGACATGACAAAATATGCAGTAAAATTACCAATGTTCAAGGATAACCAAACTCAAATTTTAAAAAGGTGTGTGGAGGTTTGGAATGACTGCAATTTTGTTACTTTACCTCCCTATGCTTAAGCTTTAGTTTTTCTTGTATGAGAAAACAAACAAATGTATTAAATTAAAATTTTTATTTCTAGTAAAAGAACTTAATACAAGTCATATGCATTTTAACATTTTACAGTCTTTAACATTATTCTTTTTATGCATTGTTTCTTTTTTAGATGGGTTATTAATTAAATTAATAAAAGAAAAGGGTTAGGTTGCAATATAAAACATGACCAAATTGATGCTTTATTCAC